TCGACCCGCCGCGCGTAGCGGGAGGCTGGGGGGGCGAAGTGGGTGAGGTGCGGGAAGACCCGCCGCGCGGCGGCCCGCTCCTGGTCGCTGATCTTCAGGTCGTCCAGCCGCTCCAGGGAGGGGATCGCGGCGATGACGAAGTGGCGGTAGTTCGGGTCGCGACAGATCGGGTTGTCCGCGAGGTTGAGGATGCTGAGGTAGTCGAGGCGGGTGAGGTGGAGGACCTGGTTGAGGTCGCTGATGCGATTTTTCCGTAGGTACAGCTCGCGGAGGCGGGACAAGGTGGAGAGGACGCCGATCTCGGCGATCTCGTTCAGCGACAGCGAAAGAACCTCCAGGTTGACGGCTTGGTGGAGAACCCCAATATCCTGCAGCTGCGCCGCGCAGACATTTAATTTTGTAACGCGATGAATATCATCTACCCTAGTCTTCTGAAGAACGAGGTTGACTGTTAGTACGCCAGCCATTGAGATTATTGCTAATACCCTGCTTTTTGGGAGGGTTGAAATCGAATTCACTTTTCAATATCCTCTTAAAAAATAGAAAAAGGGGAAAGGATTTCAAAAAAAAAGTGGGTGTGTCTATGTTATAGCACACAGATGGGGAAAAAACGTGATTGAGCGCTTGTATTTAACTCAATGACTTCTACAAAATAATATGTTTAGGGAAAAATATGGAACGATCCGTCAAGAAACTATCTTCTAAGAAAAAAGAGTGAATGGCAAGAATAATAGGTGATTTACCTCGCACATCAAGTCTCATATGCAAAAAAAAAAATGAAACCTCGATGAAGTCCCAAAGTAACTGAGTCCCATTAGGAAAAAGGGCATAATGAGAATAAAAAAGAATACGCCAAAGTATGAATACATGCGCAAGGTTAAAACGCCCACAATCAGACTTCAAACCCCATATTCGATGTTTCATCACTTCAGTTCTTATTTTGAGCAATGTTGTTCTACAGACACCGCTAACACACAAACTCAAGCAAATTTGTCTTGCTGAGTCAAAGCACACAAAACAGGGTGCTTCTTTATATTTCCTCATAAGTGGATTGTCTCCCGACCCCCACGCATACAAGGTGGATATTATACTTTTCATCCAGTGTGCCAGAAGTCTAAGTCAGCAATTGACAACCTCTAAACGGCATCTAGGGATAAAGGAAAAAAGAAGAGATGCAAGTCAATTTTCAACGAAAAGGCCAGGTTCCATAGAAAACAAAATACTAGGCTACCTATTATGATCAGCCAAGACTTCCAAATTTCTCTTAATGATGTTTAAGCATCTACAAAATGGATCTTTCTGTGTACGACTATTTTGGAGAATCCCTCTAGTTCTAGACTTTACAGATTCGGCAACTTGTTTGGAAAGCATCCTGATAAAATCGTCCGGTGTTTTCCTTTCCGTTTTATAGGTATAGATACCTATGAAAAGACAAGACATGGAAAGGCCGTAAAGCGGCAAATCACAACCCTCTAAGTGCTTTTTTCCTTTTGCTTCTTACATTTAAGACACTCAGTTGATTGCAAGCGACTCTGGAAACTAGATACGGGTTTGCTGCTCCCTAACCCACACGTGCTTCGCAAAGTCAATAACAAACAAAGACTGGTGCGGTTTAGCCGGATCTGGCTGATGGTACGTCAACACCTCACAGTCAAATCCCATGGACTGCAGGGCACCCTGCATGATGCCACCCATAAAGCTCGCATAATTTACATTCCAATGCCCTTCATTGTCAAGGTAATCCGGCGATGGGTTGACATACCTCAGCACTAACGGATTGGCATCGAAGACAAAAAAGCGGTCTGAGTTGGCCTCGCGTTGTATTTCGTCCGCCGGTCGACCAAACCACCGCGGCCAGAGCCTCTCTTGGATAAGCTTCAGCGCCGCCAGGGCGGTGAGCGGACGCCGCTGGAGCTCGGACGAATCGCGAAGGAACGACAGCATCACGAGTCGAGTTCCGACGTGAACCCCAAGCGAGGTTAAACGAGATTCCACCTCCTCAAGGTTGCGAACACGGGTCGGGTGAGTAAACGCGCGGGAGCACATTTCGGAGAATAGGAAGCTAAAGGCCGACAGGGAAACGTTCGCATCTCGGCCACGGCGAAGTGAGTCGGTATTACGATCACTACGCTTCAGGCCTCCAGATGCCTCGCGGTGATACATTCCGTATATGGGATTAGAGCCTTGCCGCGAGAAATAGGCTTGATGCGCTCACTTTTCTATCGGAGGATTATATCAAATCCGAACGAAGCACTTGAAATCAATGAGAATTAGACAAGAGCAAAGAAAAAAAGAGAAAGAATGGTGTTCAATAATAGCAGGAAAAAAAGTTCCCTCTGGTAAACATAGAATCACAATTTTGAATACATATGCGATTATTTTTTCCCATAGTATTTTTCTATCCAAAAAAATTAATACATGCAAAACACTTTCACGGCAAGTTTGATTTTTTCTTAAAAGAATACCAAAATAGCTTGGAAAATGTTAAATACAATGCATTAAAGATTTAGTCCAAGACCCTTGACAATTTTCCCACTATCAGGGCGAGGAAAAATTACCGTTTTGCTTGAAAATATGTGCAACGAGCTTAATCATGTTTCACTGTGCACAACGAACAATAACCAATACAAACTCCATCGATACGCATCACATCGTCAAAAATGAAACACTTGCTTGAGTATTCAGAGTTAAAAACTATGGAAAATCTTGTATGGCATCAAATTAATATATAAGGATGCATATTTGTACGTTTCGAAGTAGCAGCATTCGTTAAACTGATAGAAAAAGTTGATCCACAATGAAAGCCACATTCACTTCAGACATTTCAATTTGTTGAGAACAGATTATTACTGGTAGGCACAAATTAAACCCTTTCAAAACTCGATAAAATTTAAAGGTAATTTGGAAGGTCTATAACCTAAACGATGAAAAGAAAAAAGAAAAAAGAAAAAAGACACCTTCAGCCACCCAGGTATCTCTGCTTCATACTTAAAACCATACGCACTACAATTGAATCATCAGGGAGGGGGAAAGAGAGGGATATATGTGTATAAAATAAAAGTATTTCCATCTCTTACAACTTACATCGCCTCGTTGAAAAAAATAACATAAGCGGGAACCAGGTCATCGTAGCTTATAGAATAGTCCTCATCCTTTTTCACAAAATCATATGTCAGATTCCACAACCCTCGACCTGAGAATGAGATGCCGTGAGAACTCCGAATTGCACTCAGTAACCGTTCATAGAGTATAAAAGAAGCAACCGCTGTCGGAATCACGCGCGTCATATTCGTCATAAAGCCACGATACATCCCCCAAATCCCTTCGTTACGCCAGATGGTTTTCAACCCCAGCCTCATATTCCCATACTCGGGCCTTTGCTGATTGTGCACATACTGCAACCGCGTCCGGACAACCTCCAAAGGGTTGAAAATCCCACACGTGATGGCCTTTGCGAGGGCGGAGCCCAGCGCCACCTCCATGGCCGACGGATTGCCGCTGTCCGAGTAATAGTTACGACGAAACCACTCGTAGAGGGTGACCTGGATGGTGGTGCTGCTGGTGAGAATCACCTGCGGTGCGAACCCGCGAAACATCGCCCGCCGACCTTCCGGGTGTTGAAGGAAATGCCAAAGGTTCCGGCCACGCGGGGGGCTCCGGGTGGGAGCCATCCACGTAACAGGGCCGGTCCCGATGCGGGTTTGCAGTTGATACCACGTTTTCATCACATAAAACGGCGTGATCATGGTGGAGGTGATCACGGCAGCGACGCAGGCGCTGAGGAAATCCTTCGCGGACGCCCCCACCGACGGGTAGGGCCCGAGCAAATCCTCGAAGTGCGAGCGAGAAGCCCGAAAGGTAACCAAGTAGGTACCCCAACCGAGGCCGTGCGTGAGCACCGAAACGGACATCCCACGATACATCCCACGCAACCCCTCCTGCGAAACAATCAGGCGGATGGAGTGTGGAGGGGGGTTGACGCTGCCGCGTTGGTTGAAAACATGCATACGAGTCCGTAAAAGGTCCAGCGGGTAGAAGAGCATCATCGCCATGGAGCCACTTATGAGGCCCGCAATGCCATGCATCCATGGCCGATCCTCTCCTTTTCGTAAAGTGCAGGGAGAATCGGTAGTGTGAACCATCGGAACCTGGCTGAGGTCAGTATACATATCCTGAAGATGTTAATAAATCAAGAATTCACCAGATGGGGTTCCCTTTTCCCCTGTGAATCCCTGCCAGGCGGTACCAGTTTTCCTGTGAAACAATCGCAAATAGAAATTCTCGAGACTCGCCTCGATGAAAAATGAATGAAAAGAAGAAAAAAGAAAAATTTTACCAAGACACTTTCACTGACTTAGCATAATAAATTTAGTGTGTTTGAAAAATGAACAATATTGGAAAATATAGGCCAAAACTAAATTAAAAAAAAACTCACACTTAACTTTTGCCTTCAGCATTTAAAGAGGAAAGAGATGAGTGGCGATAAGGATGTTATGATTACTACTACAATGAAATCGATTTGCATAACAACATGATAATAGTGCCCCGAGTGGAGATCAATATGATCTTTAGTAGTTGTACTTTGTACTTTCTAGATTTCTATCCATTTAATTGTACGTTGTATTTTATTATTCTGGTGACGTTAACAACAAAAACACAATTCCTGCTATTTTGCCTTCACCTTTTTAAAAAAGCAAACGGGATTTTTTATAGAAATGATGTCCCTTTTCGGTTTCTCAGTTGTTAAAATAAGGAACCAACCACATAAGGCTTCCATGGTATGAATGTCAGCTGTATAAATGTTTGCATACCGTTTCGTGAAGAAGAAAGACAAAAATGCAATTAAAATGCAATTAATTAGCACATGGTACAATATAGAATGTCGCTCATAAAATCTAGAAAAAAAAGAGTCCTTCCTTGATGTCATGAGGATTCACTTAGGATGTTATAGATGTGACTACACTTTTGGTATCGCTGGAACGTGCATTATGTACCACATACCAAGAAGGGTACAGTTTCTCTTTCCATTAGTAAAATCAATCTAATTGCTAAAGCACACCTATTGAAAGTGCTATCTTGCGCACGGAAGGATTTTGGACATAAAGGAATGTAAAACGCACTTCGTTATTCATCATGATTGGTAACCATTAGTCGTTAACAGATAAATGAATAAAAAAAGATTCCTTTAAAATAGACAAACGTGAATTCTCGATTTAGAGTGCCTTCTTTTTTTTCCTTGTCTTTCACCTTAAAGACTCATTTAGAGACCAATTTCTTTGAGGTCCACAACGACACGGACCGCGCGCCCTATCATCTATCGCTACTGAAGCTCTGGCCACGTGAAGCATTCACTCCCTGGCTTATCCAAGCGCTCGTAGCCATGCCTGCCGAACACATCGCGTTGGAGCGCAACCATCTGGCCGTACTGCAGAAGCGGCGTGAACATGGCGTTGACGTAGCTCAGCGAGGCCGAGAGCACGGGGAGGGCGATGGAAGTATTCGTGGTGAGGTACCCAAGAATCTGGCGATAGTCATTAATCCCCCCCCCAATCTCCTCCTTAAAGTGGCACATCAAATTCGACAAGTTCGGGTTCTTCTCGAACGCCTCCGTCATGGGGTGGAGAAGGTAGCCCTGAAGGATGCAGCCGGCGCGGAAGGTCGCGATCGTGGCGGGCAGGTTCAGTCCGAACCCGTACACCTTGTCGAGAACCCGCAGGCATTGAAACATCTGCGCGTAGCTGGCGATGATGGCGATGCAGGTGGCTTTGTAAAGCTGCTCCACCTCCGGCGCGCGATCGGAGCAGTCGGAAAGGGGGATCGCCCTGCCCTTCTGAACGCTCGGCACGTTCGCCGCGTTGGCGATGCGCTCCTCCTTGTACATCGTCAGCTGGCGGGCGATCACGGCCGCCGCGAGGGAGGGCGCGGGCACCCCCACCTCCAACGCCTCCTGCGCGGACCACAAACCGGTCCCTTTGGAGCCGATCCGGTCCTTCACCTTCTCGCTGAGGTAGCTTCCATCCTTCTCCTTCGCGCGGCAGACCGCGATGGTGATGTCGAGCATGTAGGACTTCAAAAAGCCCCGCGCCTTCCAGGCCTCGAGGATGTCCCCAATCTCGTCGTTCGTCAGCCCCATCGCGTGGAGGGCGCTGAAGACCTCACCCCAGATCTGCAGAATCGCGTATTCCCCGGCGTTGTGATACATTTTAACGCACGAGCCCGCGCCGCCGCGGCCGTTGAAAGTTACGCACGGCCGCCCGTCCTCCGCCTTGGCGGCGGCCGCCTCGACAATCGGGCGAACCTCCTCCCAGGTGCTAGGGGTGCCGCCGGGGAAGAAGGCGGGGCCCTTGCGCGCGCCCTCCTCGCCGCCGGAGATGCCCATCCCCATAAAACGCAACCCCGCCTTCTCCAGCTCCGTCGCACGGGCGTCCTGGTCCTTGAAATTGGCGTTCCCGGTGTCGATAATGATATCGTTCGCGGAGAGGATCTCCCGAAGTTGGTTAATCGTGTCGGTGGTCGCCGCACCGGCTTGCACCAAGATGAAAATCTTCCGCGGAGCTTTAATGGAGGCGACAAACTCCCTCAACGTTTCGAAACCATGCAAATTGGTGTCGAAGGGCTTCGATTTTACGTGCTTGCCAATGAACTCGACCGTTTTCGAAGAGGTACGATTGAAGACGGCCACATTGAACCCTTTCTCGGCGATATTGAGAGCCAAATTGGCTCCCATCACGCCGAGGCCAATAATACCAAGATCGTTCGACATTGCTGCGTTGCAGATCTATATATATATATAGATATAGATATATATTTATGTCTGTATACGTGTGTGTGTTCAAAGAAGAAAATAATTTACTTCGCTGGTACTAGTCTATCAATTCGTTAATAATTAAACTCACTAACGATGAGTAGTTTAGCAAGGCATTGACCGCAACAAAAATCCAAGGAGAACCAGATTGGGAGAGGAGGGAAATGATTTGGGCGAGCATGCATAGCGGATTGCCCCTAAGATAGGGGGGAAGAGGGAGGGAATCGCCTCCACAAGGGAAGGCAAACACACCAGAAAAAGAGGCTTTATCGTTCGCCATACAGTAAAGGACACGGTGGGAATCCAACAATCACGCGTGCGTGTAATGAAGTCGTTCGTTCTATCAAGCATCTCTGCTGCCGATGTCACCTTGGAATGCTCAAACGTTCCCCGTCGATGCGCGATTTATCGACAGATTCAGGCGCAACCGCTCCTGCTCCTTTTCAATATCTCGAATAAGCTTCTCCCGCCTTCGCTTCAGCGCCATTCGTCTGCGTGCCTTACGAGAAACACGGGCGGGTGGCTCCTTCGTCTCGCGAGGGAGCTGGTCAGGGTTGCCGCCTGCCGATGCGTCGTCAGGGCTTGAGGAGGGCGAATTCGGCGGGGACGGGCGGATCGCCAGGAGTTCCTTCACCTCACGACGCAGTCGGCGCCGCTTGCGAGTTTCGCGGTCGAGCCAGGCCGCCGTTTCTGCCGCCCCCGCGCCCGCCACGACGAGGACCAACTGCCCCTTCTTCAGCATCATTTGCGCCTCCTGGCGAAGGTAAAAGTTCACCAACCGCTCCGCCGTATCCGAGTGGAGCGACTCATTCAGTTTGGTAAGCTCGTGCGCGACGTAGACCCGTCGCCTGGGGAGCACCGCCGCGATATCCTGCAGCACCGCCAACAGCCGTCGTGGGAGCTCATAAAACACGCAGGGGTGGGCCGCCGGCGCGACCACCTCGCGCAGCACCCGCAGCCTCGCGCCCTGCGCGCTTGGCAGCACATTCCCGAAGAAAAACGACCCCTCCGGGAGGGCCCCCCCCTCCCCAGTCTTCCCTGCTTTCCCTCCCCCCTCCCCCCTCCCCCCTCCCCCCTCTCCCTCTCCCTCCCCGTGAGGGTCGTACGGGGAAGGGGGGAGGCCGCAAACCGCGAGGGCCGCCATCACCGCGGAGGCGCCTGGGACCGCCGTCACCCGGA